CTGTTTAATGAGAAGCTGGTTTGTTCTGTAAGCCTTCATCTAAAGTACAATTTAAAAAAAAAAGAAAGAAAGAAGCACTGGGAGCATGGTGCATCCTTTAGATCCGCCGTCCGTGCGCAGAGAAGCTCCTGGACCAGGGGAAGATTGATGACAAGGACTTTCCTCAACGACTGACAGACAGAAAGCCTTCGCCTGGAGCCGGCACCCTTGATTTGGACTTCTAACCTCCTAGACTGTGAGAGAATAAATTTCTCTTTGTTAAGAAATCTGCTTGTAGTATTTTTGTTATAGCAGCACTAGACAACTAAGACAGCCAGCTACCCTATTCTAAAAAAAAAGATTCCGAGCCTCTCTCAGATATCCACAGTAGTGTATAACTATTAATCATCACAAAGCCTTATAAATAAATTCAATTCCTTTTCTTTTCATTCAGCTCTTACTGGCCTACTCCTTCCCCTCCTTTCCTATTCCATTATATCTATTTGAAGAAACATAAGCTGAGTTTTCCCTCCATAAAAGTAATTTAAGCGTTAGGGATTCAATAATGTTTGGCCAGAAAGCTCCCAACACCATAAGAGAACAAACAGTTAATGACAAATGTAAATGAATTCCTCTGCTTCCAGTGTGAGTCAACTACAGAACAGAATAAGTGAACTAGATAACCCAAAGGTTAACAACTGGACTTTAATGAATTTTGGGAAAAGTGTTTTTGCACAGAGATACAGGTATAAAACACATACAAAACGAACAAAAACATGTTTTCTTTCCATAAGTACTTCTCAGAACAGTCATGTCTAGGTTTAAATTGATATATATTTTAGAGTTTAAAAATTGTAAGACATTAACATATCTTTGTAGTTACACTCAAGACACACACATTTATTATCCTAACATTGGAAATACCTTCTTGACATTTGTAACTTTTATTGGTAGGCTTACTTTTTTAAAAAGTTTTCCTAGGAGAAAACATAAGAAAAAAAAAAATAGTCTGTCCAGATTACCCATTATTTTTTGAACATTTACTTAGGAATAACACAGTCTTAAAATAGCTCAATTCTGAAAACATTGATGAAATGCTGGAGTGTTACTCTTATTTTCAGGAGCTCTTTTTTGAAAAGGAAACGAGTATGAGAAGAATTCTGTCCTGACACTGGTGGGCTGAGATACATCTATACTGTCCACAAATTCAACATGCAAGAGTGTCTGCCTTCAGAGAGACCAAAACTAATCGGTAACATGAAGTAGAGAAGTTAGCTTTCGATGATGCATTCATTCCAGTGTACTCAGTGAATCCTCCTGAGGTTTTACCTGTATATCTCTGAAAAGAGATGCACATCCTAATTTCACAGATATTAAACAATGATCAACTTCTTTAGAGGTATAAAACATGCTTACCTCTTTGACAGCTCCAGTCTTAACTGCAAAGAAAAGGTTATTAACTAGAACCCAATTCTAGGCACCCCTGCTACTTGTTACCACAACAAAGAGTTATCAGGGCTTCTCAAGGAGAGTATTATTGGCATTGTGGGTGGGATAATTTTTGGTTGTGTGGGACTATCCCAGACACTGTAGAACACTTTAGTAACCCTAGATTACCCACTGAAAACCAGTAGTCTTCAAGGTAAGTGTGACAATCAGAAAACACACCTATACATTTCCAACTGCCCTTGTTGAAAACCACTAAACTAGATGATTTAAAATTAGTATCTATTAACTTCATGACTTCCACAGAAAGTACTGCTACGTTACCTTCAGTAACAACGACTGAAGAGGAACACTTTGTTCAAAAGAACACTGTAATTAAATGTTATTTCAAAAAGATAAGCTGATTTCTTTAAACTCATGGTGAACTGAAAGGCTTAGACGCACAAAGTGTGATACTTATTTA